TATATATATATATATTCGTACATGTTTTCATACGCTGATCAAATTTCTAAATATAAAAATTTTGTTTGGAATTCTTCGTTCGAAAACTTTTCATCAGCTTTCAATATATATATATATATATATATATATATATATATATGTGTGTGTGTGTGTGTGTGTGTGTGTGTGTAATTTGGAAATAAAGACCATATATGCGCCCATGTTAACATATGCATTCTGTTTGTATATGCTAGATAAATGGTTATATGCTTGCATGAATAAATGTTGAAGTACATAGTTATTGCATTAGGTTTTGAGTGTCCTCCCTGCAGGCAACTTCTCTCATTAAATCTGTCTATTTTAAGAAATCGTTCCCAGAACCTAGTGGGATATTGTCACTGATTAGACAATGATTTAGTCAAAAGTAATAAGAATGAAACATTGAGTATTTTTTCTGTGTCTATATTTTTTAGAGCGAACCAACAGTCAGACCACGCCCAAGGCTATTTACATCGGTGTATTTTATTGGTAACGTTTCTGGAGTATTGGTGAATATAAAATCCGGCGAAATGGTTTTCCGTTGTATTAATGTGCTACCAAATTCTTTACATACATTTTTTTTTTTTTTTTTTTTTTGCAAACAAGGAATTTGCTTGTTTGTTTTTTTCACCTGAGAAGCGCCAAGGATACAGGAAAGTGCAGAAAAGTTCTCGACCGGACAAAGATCCTACATTTAGGATTCAAAACAAGGGTACCTATTTTCTTCGAGGGGAGGGTTAAAGACACACAAAAAAAACAATATGGCAAGTGCTTTGAATTTTCCCTTTTTTTAACTAGATTTCAATCAATACAAGGCTTGAGAGTCACTCAATGCAGAGGGTTAATGTCAAAATGAATGAAGGTATGTAGAACGAATGGAATATAAAGTGTTAGGAATTATGAGTAAATAGAGGAAGTTAACCACTAACCCTTAAATTCAAGAGGTTAAAACTTTGTATGTGTCCCACTAAAAATAACGTTTGGACGAATAAAAATAAGTCCAATTATTCTTTTGAAATTCTGTTGTTGACGTTTTACATAGGAAATCGAGAAGCAACATTACGGCCGTCGTACGCTCCGGCCTTCTTCAGATGGAATATCAAACTAAAACTTTTATTTTGCTCGTTGGGGTAGACTGTTCTAGTTCCACATACCATGTCTAATGGATGTCTGTTATTTCCTATTAATTCCTCTCTCCAAATTCTCCACCGCCATAACCAGGTATTGGACTCACAGTCTTTGGGTCCTGCTACTGTATTTAACTAACGTCTTTATCCACTGTGCCATGTGTCCTTGTACATATCTGTGCATGAATTTATGGGTATTATAAACCTAATGTGATTAGCAACCATTTTAGCAGTGCTCATATTGCAATTTTTTCCATGTTTTTTTACCAGAGCTCATATTGCAATTTTCGTTGTTATTATTGCTTTTCTTTGGCACTCCTTATTACTGGTTCCCATATTATATTCATTTCTATGCTTGGTCGGCTCACGAGATTTTTGTGGCTCAGCATATGTGCTGATTCCTTAAGTTTACGAATTTTCCAATGATGTTCATTGAAAAAATGCGTAACTGACATCCATTAGACATGTCACATGGAACTAGAACAGTCTATCCCAGCAAGTAAAATAATGGGTTCAGTTTGACATTCCAACCCCCCGAAGTAGGCCGGGGGGTACAACGGCCGAAACGTTGTGGTAATTATGGCAACAGAGATGAGAACAATAGTCCTAATAATGTAATAGCTCATCTCAGAAATATAGAGAGATACTGAAATCGAGAAGATATTGGCTTTCGAGAAAATCAGGACAAAGGAATGGGCATTCCTTAGAAGGGTAAATAGAACTTTTCTGGTTTCTGAGACTTTCTGTGGCCGAATGGTCTAAAGCAATGATTCCCAACGTAGGGTACATGCTCCACCAGCGGGGCATGGTAATATTTTGATGGGACATGCGTAAGATGCCCACCCTTCGGCTTACTATAACAACGTGAGCTCAGTCTTCATTTTGCATTATTATTTCATGATTAAAATGATCAAAGCATATTAGAAAATAAGCTTTCATTCAAGAATTTTATATTTCTGCATTTCAGTTCTCCTATATGTTTTGTAACTATATATATTTAACTGTCTTTTTGTTTTTTTCTCTTTCATGGACGCCATGGTCTTTGAAGGTTTGTTTAGAGACCAAGTTAATGGCCTTTTAAGCTTCCTTCACGTGAACTGCAGTAAAATTTAGAATATGTAAGAATTAAATATTACAGGAGTCACCAGAATTTTAGAAATACTAAAGTGGGGCATGGCCTAAAATCGGATGGGAACCATTGGGCTAAAGCATATCGAAAGAAGAACGCATGTTTGAACCTTGCCAAAAAACAGATCTTCTTAAAGTCAAGTTTAATTTTCCTGTGTATACCGATAGATGTAATACACACTAGAAATAACACTTGAAGTAATACATGTGTGTGTGTACACGTGAGCACACACACACACACACACACACACACACACACATATATATATATATAGTCGAATTGATGAGAGTTTGTGAGCCTGGGTTTCACGCTATTTGCGATTGTCAGACAAACGATTGCAAATGAAACCTAGGGTCACAAACTCACATCAATCCAACTAAATGTGTTAGCCCTATCACTGATATATAAATAATATATATTACAAAATTGCATGTATATATATATATATATATATATATATATATATATATAATGCGAATTAACAGCGTCTAAGAATTTGAATGAAACCTGCCCTCGTAAAATGTAATTTATTTGGGTTGTTGTAGCTTCTTCCTTTAATGTCGGCCCTCTCCCCCACCCCTTACCCACCTATATCTAGAGACAATACGCGTTAGCCGACACACAGTGGGGTTAAGAATAAGGAATTGAAATTATACATCTAACCCACTCATATCTTATCTTCTCTCCCACCTCACTTCCTCACTTCGTTAATTTTACATATGCTTGATGCGGTCCGTCAAAAACATGTGAATTTCTTTTCATTTTTCATTTCAACTTTTGGAAGTAAAGTCTGATGATCCAGAGCGCTGTTAAAGGGGTTATGGTGAAATAACTTATTACATGGAACCTTAAAGTGGTCTGTTTTTATTCAAACATATCGGCTCTGAATTTTATATTGAGCTCTCCGGATATCATCCTCCTTGGGTCTACCCATGCGGATTACCTAGTTTTGCATAAACTAATATATATATATATATATATATATATATATATATATATATATATATATATATATACATTATGGAATGGACAGAGTCCGACAATAGGAATGAATGAGAAAAATTATGGAGAATTGTGTTTAAAAACAGTAAAATCAACCTTGCTAGCCTAACCATCCTTTGTGGCCCAATCGGTTAATGCACGTCAGGCTAAAGGACGGTTCCGTATAGGATACAGGTTCCGTATAGGATACAGGTTCCGTATAGGATACATTCGTTTCCTGTCAGAGGACGGCTATTTTCTATGACAATTTCTTGGACATGCACGCCGGTAAATGTTTTTAATACTGTTTATTATAAACAGAGCATTTACTTAAATATTTGTATCTATAAAGAGAACGTATAAACATAAAATTTTATCTTAAATATATATTTATATACATACACATTTCACACACACACACACACACACACACACATCTATATATATATATATATATATATATAGGATAAAAATATAGTTTTAAGGTTTACTATATTTATGGGTTAAAGTTCTCAGTATCAGAGATAGAGCGTTTGTAAAGATAAAAGTGGACATTGAAGTCAAAAACTAGCGGCGACAGTCTGTTTCCTGTCTAAACGCAATAGCCAAGCCTGATGATTGCGTTTAAACATGAAAGACCATGAGACATAGATGGAAAAATTATTAAAAGATCCTTTGAAGAATTATGCAACTAAAATGAAATGCAATAACTTGTTATCTACAAATATACATATATACATACATTTTATATTATATATATACATATATATATATATATATATATATATATATATATAGAGAGAGAGAGAGAGAGAGAGATAGATAGATAGATAGATAGATAGATAGATAGATACAGACAGACAGACAGATAGATAGACAGAGACAGGGAGAGAGGAAGCGGAAGAGACAAAGACAGAGGGAGAGAGGGGAGTGAAAGAGAGGGACTTTAATATTCACATAAATGATTTTAAATGTTCAAATTCTTTATTATTCGCTTATTTTCTCTTTAATCGATTGTCTAAAATATCCGAAATGTTTTGTTGAGCTTGAAATATCATAAATCATTAGATTCCATTTCCAGGAATCGTCCAAGAATTAACGAACCCTTTGCAAAATCTTTAAAAAGCATTTCAATTGACGACCATTTATTGCTAAAACCATCCGATGGAAGAGATATTTTTTAAAAAAAATAAAACGGTTACTGAATTGATCTTTTTTATAAAAATACAATCCATACATCATATATATATATATATATATATATATATATATATATATATATATATATATATATATATATATATATATATATATATATATATATAACATACTTAGTTGGTATGGTTGTGAGTTTATAAATCTAGTGTTACAAACACACATCTCTCTCTCTCTCTCTCTCTCTATATATATATATATATATATATATGGATGCGTGTGTGTACAAAGACATCCTAATATCAGTACGTATCTTATTTGTAAATATTGTTATGAATGAATTATTAAATGAATATATGTTATGATATTTTTGGTTCCAAATAAAAGTTTAATCGTATTAACATACTTGGTAAATTCAAATTATTCTTGATACAATTTCAAGGTAGGTTAGCGTCCCATGAGGAGCAAATTTACGATCTTCCTTGGCTATTTCGTTATCCATTGCTTAGTGTCAGTTTTCCGTGTGGTTAAATACCTGTTTTTACTAGAAAGAATGGTTATTATTCCTGTATAAAAAATTATGGCTCTTTGATGCCTCTTCATACGAGAGTGGTTTCCTATCCACAATCATCGATATCTACTTATTTCTCTCCTGATCCTGAAGCTTCTTTTTACTGTTTTCGGTTGATTCTTGTCGGGCATATTTGTTTATTCTAGATAAATTTTAAAAAACTTACGTCTTCCTTTGTTACGTGTATCTAAAAATGATACCAGATATGCGAATAATAAATATCATTATATTTTGGTAACAATCCGTATTTAATCTGACGACTGCTTCAACGATTAAGTTTGACTCCACGGAGCCTCCCTAAACAGCAAAAAAAAATTTGTAGTCTCTGCTCTCCCAAAGATTAATGGAATCTACTTTTAAAAGCCAAACTCTATTAAATTTTAAAGTTAAATTTTAACATGTTGGGCTAAATTGGGCTCATAATTAGAGGAAAGTCAACTCAAAGTTTAATAGCACTGGGTTTTCAAATGGATCTCGGTTTTCTGCTTGTAGATCAGTGTGGTAACCCTGCAATGAATCTGACATTGAACATCGGCGATAAAATACATCGGAATTTTTTTGAAAAAAAAACTGTGGAAACTCAGTGCGATTAAAACTTCGATTTTTACTATTTGCGATTTTTGGGTGTTACTTTTAATATAGATTGTGCATCATGTGACATTTAATGAGAAGGAAAATAATTCTGAATTTAATAGTTCTGGGATTCAAGATTTAGCTCAGTTCGCTGATTATATGTCTTTGATTAGCCAACACGTTGCTACTAAATGAGGGATCACTTTGCTTTCGCACTCAGGCCTTGAACGGATTCCATACGCATATAATCTTTAGAAAACATGCGAGTAGACGTGATTGACAGAATCCGGCACTACTAAATTATAAATTTTTAGGACAGTTTTACTTCTTTTTATATATAATTAAATTAAGCTAAGTCAGATTTCGAGACTATAACAAAAAACAAACGCACTTTTAAACTTGTGGTGAAGCTTTATTCAATGCAATTTCACTACAGCTTATAAGTGAGGTTCGGCCATTTCTTTTATAGTCGAGTAGTTTAAGGGGAAGACAACTAGGGTTGACTTTATTAGGAACTCCTAAGTCAATTAAAAATTTGGTAACTCTGAGCTGTCAAATGAATTCGCTATTCATATTCAATTCAAGCAACACCTCTTTAAAATCGGATCGTCAATATGTGATCAATAAAAAAAAATGGTTATTAAATGGGGGGCGGTCACATTTTTTACCAGAAAATCCCCAGATTTTTTACGATAATGTTTGATGTGTTCTTATCTAGACGATAAGTTAAATCCGGCAGCAAGGCCTCTGGTCAGGAGGTTTCGATGACCGTGAAACAACATCTTAATTGCTCTTCATCCTGATCTAGGGTGGTAGCACCTGTTAGAGCCCTAGCTATGGGCAAATAGTGAAGCCCACCAAAAGAAAACTATGAAAGTATGAAAATATATTTTGTAGTAAAAATACCAGCAATATATATTTCCATATAAAAAAAAAAAGAAATTAACCAACAATGCATGCAGACTGCGATGAATAAATTGTCGTCTAATTTACGCAGGAAAGAATGTAATACTGATATCTAGTTTTAAGATATCACCGAAATATCTTAAAATAGTAAAGAGTAAATTTATTGAATAAAATTGACTGCAACCACAGCCTCCAGACGACTTCGGATCTCCTGCAACTTATCCGGACAGTCTCTTTATTTAAGTGAATGATGTCATAATCCTTGCTTTCAATTCATCTTTGGTGTCACAAAGAGGTTTGTTGGTCCCTCGCTTAACTGCGCCCTACACATAATAATCAAAGAGTATGAAGTCTGGGGAGTAGTTCGGTGGCCAGATGTAAGGGCTGATGTGGTCGCAGAAATTTCCTAACAAACATGACTTGGTTCTCCTGCTTGTGTGGCATGGTGCAGAATCCTGTTGCCAGACAAAGGGTCTTCCAGCAGCCACTCTCTTGATCTAGGACAACACTACTTCCTCAAGGCACTTGATGTAGGCCTCCGTGTTGACTCTGAGGCCCTCATTAACAAATTCGGGAGTTCTTTTCTCATCAGAGCGATCTGAATTTTCCGATCTGCAACACCTTCGTAATCAACATTAGACTCATCCAACTCTTTCTGAATCCTCTGCACTATCCCTATATTGACATCCAAACACCCTGAAATGTTTATATTAGACGCTCCGCCGCGAATGGAAGGCAGTACAGTATGCCGATACCAAATTTCTTGCGGAGAGAATTGCGTCATAATGCTTTTTTTTTCGCACAGATTGTGCCCAACCGACCCTACCATACTGTGCAGTCGACAAAATCAAAAACAAAAAACGCGCATGCGCGAAATTAAAAATATAAAATGGCGACAATTTACCCATCACATCCTTTGTAGTAAAATTACCAGCAATACATTTTATATTAAAATGACCAGCAATAAATTTATAATAGAATTAACAACAAAACATCTTAAAGGAAAATGACAAAAAAAAAAATACATTTTAAGGCATACAATCGCGTTTTTTTTTCAAAATATATTTTTAGTTGATGTCATAAAATTTTGTTCAAAATATTTAGATCTCAGCATTAAATAGCCCATAAAGGTGTTGATATGCCGCTAAACCAAATCAACTAATCTAGATAAATCTAGTATCTAGAAAATATGGGATTCTACAGAATTTCCAGATTGAAAGATCAACAACACTAGTTTTGAATTAGTATTGCCAAATTAGCCGAGCTTATTTAAAAAGCACCCCCAATAGTCGCAAGAGGCTAAATTCAAATGTTGCTCGTTCTGGGCTTTTACGCAGCCAGTTCTGTTTACTCGTATTTTTTTTTTCTAAAGATAAATCTATGGAATCTCTTATGGCAAATTCGGGATCAGTTTAAAAGTTTTTTGCTAAAGAAAAGCGATCCCCGTTTTAATATGCACTTGTTTACTAATCATTAATGATTACTAAATATATTTGTCAGTTTGGACTACATCTTACACCCTAGTGCTACTAAATTTTGAATTGCCTTTCTTTTCGTGAGCAGCCCAGGGTATTCACGCTTAATTTAAAAGTAGCACCAAATGCTTCAAGAAGCTAAATTAAAAATTTAGTAGTAATGACCTAAAATAATTAATACATTTCAGACAGTGTCAATATTTCTGAAATGAGGTATTGTAACTATTTACTCCTATTTACATTTTTCGGACTGTAGTCCTTCTCATGGTGTCATATTCACGACGTTTCGGCCGTTGTACATTCTAGCCTTCTTCATGGTCTGTCTATATTTCTGACATGGAGTATTATAAGTATTTACACTATTTAAATTGTTTGGACACCATCCTTGTTGTCATATTCACAAGGTTTCGGCCATTGTACACTCCGGCCTTCTGCATGTGATTGGAATTTCGAACCGATCTCTTTATTTCATCCACCGGATTAGATTGTTTTAGTTCCACGTAACATGCCTCTTCCGGATGTTTCAGTTTTACTTATTTCTTTTAGTAAATCAACTGTCACCAGGTATTGTACTCACAACATTTTGGGGTGGGGTAGCTGGATTACTTCAACCTACTCTTTTATCCACTGGTCACAATCTACCCCAACGGACGAAATAAAGATTTCGGTTCGAAGAAGGCCGGAGCGTACAACGGCCGAAACGTTGTGAATATGATAACAAAGATGTAGACAACAGTCGGAACAATGTAAATAGTGTAAATACTTAAATACTCCATCTCATAAATGTAGACAGACACTGAAGAAGGCTAGAGCGTACAACGGCCGAAACGTTGTGAATAAGACAGCAAAAATGTGGACAACAGTCGGAACAATGTAAACAATGTAAATAGTTAAAATGCCCCATTTCAGAAATATAGAGAGATCCTGAGGAAGGCCAGAGCGTACAACGGCCGAAACGTCGGAAATATGACAACAAAGATGTGGACAACAGTCGGAACAATATAAATAGTGTAAATAAAATTCAAATGTCGATCCTTTCGTTAACCGTTTTTCCATATTTTGTTTAACGGGTCGGTTTAAGAACTGGTAAATTTTAACGAAATCGAAGATAAGCAGCTGAAGATCTACAAACAAATTTGGTATTTATAAAATGTAGTGCAACATACGGATTTTCGCTTTACAAAATGCAGGGGTTGGTGAAGCACAACATTATTTCTCGATTCTATTCGATTTGCTAGTGTTGTGCAAAAAAATTTTCTATTGCTTCTTTCAAATTTATTTTGGTGCAATCCAATGCATTTCTCTTTGGGTGATCGAGTTTTGATTTTAAAGATTAAGCTCGAATTCGCAAATCCTTTGTGCCCTTCGTAGCTTTTAATAAATTTTGTCTTTCTGTTATTTCTCCTAAATCTTGTCCCGCCATCCATTTACTTAAGTTCATTCTTCTTCCTCTATGTGCTGTGTACCCTCAGGGTGTAGGTGATCATGGCTCTCTACAACTTCCTATCCTTTGTAGCTTTTAATAAATTTTCTCTGTTATTTCTTTGAAACCCTGTCCTGACATCAATTTAGTCAACCTCATTCTTCTTCTATGTGCTGTGTACCCTCAGGGTGTAGGGGATCATGGCTCTCTACAACTTCCTCTCCTTCGTAACGCTTAATAAATTTTGTCTTTCTATTATTTCTCCTAAACCCTTTTCCACCGTCCATTAACTCAAGTTCACTAAGTATGTTACATGTTACTTTCCTCTGTCTCTCTTGCCTTCAATCTGTCCTGTGAGTATCAAATTCTCCAAGACTTACTTCCTCATTATGAGTCCCAGAAACATCAACTGTCACTTCCTGATATTAATCATAAGTTTCCTTTTTGTTTCCGTTTTCTCTAAAAAACTTTTGCTTCAAGTCTCTTCTTCATCATTGAGGAGATTGTTCAGTACTCATTGTCATACAGTACGACAGATATCACGTAACAATTGACGCTCTCTACTCTCCCAAATATTGGATGGTCTACTTTTGAAAGACGGGGCTCACCAAGGGCGTTCAATTTTGGCTACTAATGAAAAGAAACTCATTTCACAATTTAGCAACGCTACTTATATCCTAATTAAGCAACCCTTCTCGAAGATTATTAATATTTGATTAGTAAAAAAAAGGTATTAAGTCATAAGACATGTTTCTTTTACAAGAAAGCTTTACAACCAATTTTGGCCATGGATTTCATACATTTCTCTTATCTAGAACAGATTGTAATATACAGGATCGCTAGTTCGGTATTACTAAATTCTGACTTAAGCTACTTGTAAATTTAAGGGCTACTTTAAAAATACGCATGGCTAACTTGGGCTACTAAGGTGTCAATTCAAAATTTAGTCTCACTGGGATTTCAAATATAGCCCGAGTTGTTACTTATAACGAAAAGCAGGAAAGACAGTTACCCTACCCCGTTTTTTTTTATGGAGTATTCGGGAAAAATAGAAATTCGTCTCCTAGATTGGGTTAACATCATAAAAATGACTTTAGAGTTTAGTTAAAAGGTGATAAAGTTTTATCTTCAAAATGACGTAAAGGATCAGATTAAGTTAATTTCTATCATATTTTTCACGGCTTTTTTGTAAAGAATAATTGTTTTTTTATACTATGTTTTAAAAGTCTTTGTTCACTGAAAGTCAAACTTAAGTGCATAAATCCATCTGGCCAATGAAATGACATAAAACAAAAAAGTGTGTTACTGAAAGTCGTAGACACAAGAATAGGAAATCCTACTGTTCAAAAACTGTTTCATTTACTAAGGAAACAAAAATAACATTAGAAACAAAGAAAAGTATTCTCTGATGTTTACTTTTCTGTATGACAGGAAAAAAAGTGGGATAGTTTTGTTTTGAAGAAAAGAAAATCGATTGATTTTGAGAACACCATAGGCAGAAAATGTGAGAAAAAGGGAAGTTCTACGGAGAATCGAAACTACAAAGAAAATGTCGCTAAATGCAGATAACTAAAACATTTGGGATGCATTATGAAAAAAGAAGGATTGGAAAGTTTAGTTCACGCAGGACACATCAAAGGCAAGAAAAGTAAAGGGAAACAACGAGGAACATATTTGAAAATTTTATGCAACATGGTGGACAAGTATCACAAAGAGAAAGTATTACTGATTGCAACAAAAACAGAAAAATGTGGCGCGATATGAAGAGACATGTTTCATAGAGAGAGTATGTTAAGAATTTTTATAAAAAACGAATGAAAATAAAGGACAAATGTATTTTAACACATAATAAAATAAGTTTTATTCATTTACTCCCTGAGAACAGCAAGGATTAATTTGGATTTAAACCATGAATTCCACGCGCGTGCCAGCTTGTCACTCCGCTGAATTCAGAAGTGCCCGCTCAACCTAGCGGACAAGGGAAGTAATTCAATTGTATTTGGAGTTATTGTCCTTTAGAGGAGAAGTAAACTAGCTCCCCTAACACGATGGAAATTAAAAAGGACATGTTTTTACCAGAGCTCATATTGCAATTTTTATTGTTATTATCGCTTTTCTCTGGCACTCCTTATTACTGGTTCCCATATTGTATTCATCTCTATGTTTGGTCGGCTCAGGAGATTTTTGTGACCTAGCATATATTATGATACCTTAAGTTTACGAATTTTCTTTGTCACATACAATGATAATAAAAAAAATTGCAATATGATTACTGGTAAAAAATGGTTGCTGAAGACATTAGGTTCGTAATACCCAGAAATCAGCTGGGTATTACAGCTGTCCTCAAGGACACATGGCACAGTGGATAAAGGCGTTAGTTAGATCCAATGATAAGACCCAAAAAGTGTAAGTTCAATACCCAGTTAAGGCGGTGGTGAACGTGGAGAGGGGAATTAACAGGCGATAACTGATAACTAACATCCATTAAACATGGCACGTGAAACAAGAGCGAAATAAAAGGTTCAGTTTGACATTCCAACCACCTGAAGAAGACCGGGCGTACAACAGCAGAAAAGTTGTGATAAATATGGCGACGAGGATGAGGATAATATTTCGAATAATGTAAATAGTGCACATAATATCTCATCTCAGAAATATAAACAAAAATTTGTTTTTGTCTTGGTTTCATTTAGTTCAAATACTGCGACGAGATTCTAAAAAAAAAAAAAAATGAACTTTACAACGAATTATTGAATGTTCGAATCCAGAGAAACTTAGTTTTTCTTCGTTAAAGTTTTATTTCCGGTCCAGCAGCCAAACAGATGTCAAGAGTAGAAACAGTTATGGTGGCATTCGTTTATCGGTGGACATTTTCAGTAAAATTTCAGTCTATTAACGCAAATTCAAATATATCGAATTCACAAGAGAACCTAACCACAGAAGCTGGAAAAAAAATCAAAATCCTTCAATTTTTTAAAACGTTTTTTTTTCTCCAACAAATTACAAGCAGGTATAAAAGCCACGAAAAAATATACGTCAGTCTTGCAGATTTTTTTTTTTTTTTTTTTTTTTTTAAAGCATTTAAACATGTGCTCAAGCCCCTGGAGATAAGTCGCTCCTAAAATCAAACCATCAAAAAAATATATCTCTGACTTTTTTCTTCATGATTTCTTTCTTCTGCAGAAGTGAATAAAATGTTTAAATATTTTTTCTGCTTTTTCCTTCGATCACAGAACATCAATGTTACAAAAACAAACCCGCTGAACAAATCTTATTTGTGTTGTTCTTTTCTTCTCGTTTTAAATTGGTTTCGATGCGATATTAACACATTTCGAACGAAAGTTTTTCTATCGTTGTTGAGTGGCATCTAGCAAAACGAAGGACATGCGTAATATAGTAACGCCGTTGAACAATACTAGTGTCAGACGCCTTCGAATAACACTCGCACTAATAGTACTTGCTCGAAAAATAACCACAATACTGATCCGTAAAAGTGAGATATTCTTTAACTGACCCACGCGGTCAGATGTTGTACAAGGCCGAGTTTATTGTGGGGTATCCGAGCCCGTAGTCTTGGCCAAAAATTCCCCGTATACTCCGTAAAAAACGGGGTAGGGTAGCTGTCTCCCGTGACGTGATTCTACCCTTCGGAATAGCCTCGTCTAGGGATCCTCTCTGCTCGGAGGCAGAGCTTGACCAGCACAAGAATTAATTCAGATAGTGATCGTGATCCATATAATGAGATATTTACTAAAGCGGTCGGATATGGTACAAGTTTATTGTGGGATATGCTAGGTAAAATTTCCCGGAGACCCTTTATAAAACGGGGTCGAGTAACTGCCCTTCGACATAGCCTCGTCTGGGGATCCTCCCTACCCGCAGGCATAGAGTTTGACCAGCACTCTTCCGAAGTAATTCAGAGAGTGATCATGATCCATATCATGATCACTTAGACAACACGCTAATTCCCATATATACATTTCCTTTACCATCATGTGATCTACTTATTCAAAAATGGAATCGCCTGTGTTTGCTCTCTGGTGATGTGTGTTAAAACTCCAGTGTTGGCAGCAACACTTTATTCCTATATGACACGTAAACTGTATTCGCAATCTCGACGTTTCGAGATTTAATTCATGCCTAACGTCTTTCTTTGGTCAGAGTGGCGTTCCCTTCCAAAAGCTTCTTCCCAAGCACAGCTACTGTGTAGACCTGACTACCACCACGATGAATTCTCAAACACTAACATCTTTAGCTCTTCAATTCCAAACTCAATTGTTATCTATCCGCCAAATCATCGCAAATTTCACTTTCTACTTCTCCTTTTACGTTCATATCGCACACCTTTCAGAAACCCTCTCTCTTTATTGCCTCTTGGGCCTTGTATCGCATTAAATCTAATAAAAAAAACGAGCAACTAGGCTTATGGCCACATCACGTTGAAACACCGCCCTTCGTGCGATCACTGAAGTTAAGCAACGTCGAGCCTGGTCAGTACCTAGATGGGTGACAGCTTGGGAAGACCTGATACTGTAAGCATAGATATGAGGGTGGTGTAATCGTTTTACGGTCATATCACGTTCAAACACCGGTTCTCGTACGATGACAAAAGATAAGCAACGTCGAGACTGGCCAGTACCTAGATGGGTGACAGCTTGGGAAGACCAGGTACTGTAAGATTGGATGTGCAGGTGGTGTAATAGATAATGGATCGGAATTGAAAATCGGAGAACCGAATTTCAATTCCCGTTGGGTTCGTTATATTTACTAAAGCGCAAATACCGTCCGGAAAGATATGAATCCACCACTTTTCCTCCAGCTATGGGTTAATTAGTAGAACTTGCATCAGTAAATCATTATCTAAAAAATTATTACGCAGTAAAAAATATTTTCGGGCTTTACTACAAAAGTTTGATAAGCAGTAGAAAACGAATCAATCAACAGAAAAAAAAAAAACAACTGTAATCTTGGGATCATAAACGCCTCTGTTATGAAGCACCTCTCCATTGCACTAAAAATAATAATGTTTGGCGAATGCTCTGGTCTATCGTATTTATTTAATTAACATTTATTTGGAAAAGCCAACATAAAAATGACCTTAATCTCATTATGGATGTGCGGGTGGTGTAAGGAGAAACCGGTGAGCGGATGTCGAATTCTGGTTGAGATCGTTACTTTTGGGGAAGGTATAAACCCCTCTCTTTAAATGGGTTAAATAGCAGGAGATACTACACTAGAGCTGTAGTTGGCAAACAGTATAGGAAAAAAAACAAATTTGAATTCAGAATCGTGTGTGTCTCTGGCGGCGTAAAATAGGTTAACTGCAACTAAGGGCCACTTTAGGTTGGTTCTGTGGGCGTTGAAAAAACAGAATGGCCTGGGCATATGAGAAAGCACGGAAACGTGCAGCCATGCTAAAGCTGGGATATCAATCTGATTGGAGACTGACCAAGAAGAAACAGATATGACGAAGATATCATTCTGATTGGAATGGGAATTCTATAAGAAACAGCGAAGACGAAGATAAGACATCACTCTGACTGAAGTGTGACGTCAAGAAGAAACAGCCAAGAAGAAGATAAGACATCACTCTGATTGGAGTGGGACGTCAAGAAGAAACAGCCAAGACGAAGATAAGACATCACTCTGATTGGAGTGGGACGTCAAGAAGGAACACCCAAGACCAAGATAAGACATCACTCTGATTGGAGTGTGACGTCAAGAAGAAACACCCAAGACCAAGATAAGACATCACTCTGACTGAAGTGTGACGTCAAGAAGAAACAGCCAAGACGAAGATAAGACATCACTCTGATTGGAGTGGGACGTCAAGAAGAAACAGCCAAGACGAAGATAAGACATCACTCTGATTGGGGTGTGACGTCAAGAAGAAACAGCCAAGACGAATATAAGACACCACTCTGACTGGAGTGTAACGCCAAGAAGAAACAGCCAAGCCTGATTATAAGTTATCACTCTGCTTGGAATGTCACTTCAAGAAGAAACTGCCAAGGCGAAGATAAGATATCACCCTGAATGGAGTGTGACGTCAAGAAAAAACTGCTCTAATGAGGATAAAACCCATCATTTTTTTCACGGTAATGCATTTGCATATACAAATGTATATATAATTAAACTTTCTCATTTCTTACATAGGATATCAAATGTTTGATTAAAAGTGGACAGTGTTCTATTCATCTGTCTTTTAAGTATTTACATAAAGTCTACTTATACAAGACCACGTCTTGATTGTTTGTTTTGATTTGTTCTAGCGGCATATCAACCCGGATGTGTTAATTAATGCCGGAAACTAAATAATTTGTAAGAAATTTTATTTATTTATCCAGTTTGGAGATAATGGTTTTAGTGATAAAATTCTTACTAATTAATCCATGAATGGGCAGAGAAGAAGTGGATTCATACCTTTCTCCTCAAAGGTATTTGCGCGTAAGTGAATATAAGGAACCCAACTGGAATTGGAACACGGCTCTCCGATTAACAATTCCGAGCCATTATCCATTACACCACACTGCGTATACAGGATTACATCACCTGTATTCCCAAGTGGTCACCTATCTAGGTACTGACCAGGCTTAACTGATGTTTTCAGCATGATGTGGCTGTAAGGCCACATATATGGACCACTCAATAAAATAAGGATCGAATGCACATTATCTGCGTTAAACGTGTTCCATGGTGAGGTGAGAAAATATTTGATTGCGGTAGAGAGACACAATTTTAGGTCACCTAGTGAGGATAAAGCTCACGAAATAATGGTTTCTGACGTGTGCTAATCACTGTTCTTAGGAAGCCTTTCTATATGCTTTAATCAGCTTCTATTTACAAATGAAACGCTTATAGCGGGAAGTTGGTCAAAGTTACCAATTGAGATTTTGCTTGTATACATACAACACTGTAAGGATTTCCCTAGCTTAATAATAAGAAAAAACATAAAAAATCTCAACACTAGGTTTCCCCCAATCTTATTAGCCAGGATTTTTCCCCTTTAAGACAATGGAAACAAAGTTTAATGGCGAAAAGGATTTTAAAAAAAAACAATTTCGGCTAGACTGCAGGTAACACTTCCCTTCTCAGTTTATTTCCATCAAATAAGAAACTAAAAATTAAGTAACCTCCTACCGATATGAGATTAACGTCGAAGGACTGTCTGCACGTAAGGAGAAAGAAACAAAAATATGGACATTTTTTTTCTTCATTTTCTTAACTTACATTTTTTTACATAGATGTTTCCGCCATAATTGTTTTTTAACTACACTGGAGCTCCTTCCCGGCTTTTCTTTTTCCACCCACGTTTTTTAACTTACTGTCACGTCATTATCCAAAATTCTTTTCCATTTGACACCAATGCACTTCTTAACACGGCCTGACGACAAAAATGGATGTTTTAATTTCTCTTTAAATTTTTTTATTTTTTTTATTTCGTTTATTTTCGAATTTTCTTTTTTATTGTCGATGTATTAATTATTCAGTGAGTGTGTTTTTGTTTGTTTTGTTTTTTTTTACGTTTTAGTTACTAACTTTGTTTTGCAAATTTCACTTTTTTCTAAGTTATTTTTTTTTCACTTTTATTTTTCTTACTTTTTCAGTTTTTTTAGAATAATTTTCTGCGTGTTTTTTTTTTTTAAGGAAAAATAACTTTTACTCTCATTTGAAAATATTTACTCTTTTTCTTTGATATTTTTCGACGTGTTCTTTTATATTCTTAATCTTTTATTTCAGACATTTTCAGTTCGAAATATTTTTTTTTCAGCCAACTCTATCCTGTCCTGTGCTTTGCGTTGTATTCTTTTAGGTTTTCTTTACATTCGACCGTCTCGTTGACACTTAAGAGCACGCGCCCAAACGAATCAATTGTTGAGGAAACGAAAGAAAGAAAGAGAAAGATTATCTTCCCTCACTAGTGTACTTGGCCAGCGAGGTTCAGATTGTTGCGAGCAATCCAATCCATCAAACGGTCAAAATAAAGAAAGGTCAAATCTCTTGTTGCCGAGAAATCACCGTCCTTTGCGAGACTAAATTGACCCATAACCAGTGCACTTATAGTGACGTTGACTGATCAGACTCACGGTGCTTTAATTAAATGGAATCTCAGGGAACCTTCTCTTTGGAATTAAAACAAAAATAAAAGAATAAAACAGAGAAAGAAAGAAGAACGAAAAGACGTTGGTTGAAAAGGGGGAAAAAGCTAAAAGAGACTTGTTTTTGTTGGAACAGCAATAAAGCTGCCATATTTGATTTTTGAGGGAGAAATACTTCCAGTTGCAGTGGGATGACGGAACAGTGTTCTTCCCAAACTTGTTTGAAAATGTCTGTAGTGACTGAAATATGCTGCCTGTGATCTATTATAGTTTTAAAGAAACAAATATATGAGACAGTGTTTAATACTTTATTGCTTACCGTGAAATATTAAATATATAGATATTTTGTAATGTTTTATTTGAGTAACAGTTAATCATTTTATTCTCCAATTTGGAGACAAAAATCAAAACAAAATTATGTCATAAAGAAAAACTTCATTATATAATAGAAAATGAGTTTATGAGACAAATATATGGAGCACCAGAAACCAAACTGGAACATTATATAAAAGCAACAAAATGTTAAAAATATAAGCATAATTAAAACAAATAAGATAAAAAAAGGACCATAAGAAGCTTTATTAAGCTCAATGCAGTCAATTCAGTTTCACTTAGGCGGGTTGTAGCATAAGATGTTTTACTTAAAGTTAGGTGCCAATGCACATACATAGAGGTCAAGGAAAATAAATTTAAGAAAGGCATCATGTCCTCCCTCTCTCTTTCCTCCTTTAGTACAATCGAGAAGTGTAGCCATAAAATTTGTATCTCCAAAAATCAGAGCCATCTGCATATATTTTGTCCGAAGGCAGGTTCCGATTGGAAGCGCTGAAAACAGTAGAGATGTTGTTATTAGATTGATCTGAAAATAATATCCTATTTGAGAATTAACCTTTTCTGCTCTAATATATTATTATAATAGCAGCATAAAAATATATTACTCATTCCTAGTTCTTAAAGACTTATCAATCTGTATCTGCCTATATTTCGGAGATGAGGTATTATGTACACTATTTACATTATTCAGACTATTGTCCTTATCTTTGTTGTCTTATTTATTACAACGTTTCGGCCCTTCAGTATCTGTCTATATTTCTGAGATGAGGTATTATGTACACTATTTACATTATTCGGACTATCGTCCTCATCTTTGTTGCCATATTTATTACAATTTTTCGGCCTTTCAGTATCTGTCTATATTTCTGAGATGAGGTATTATGTACACTATTTACATTATTCGGACTGTTGTCCTCATCTTTGTCGCCATATTTATTACAACTTTTCGGCCATTGTACGCTCCGGTTTTCTTCAGGACACATGGCACAGTGGATGAAGGCGTTGGTTAGATCCAGTGACAGGACCTAAAGAGTGTGAGTTCAGTATCTGGTTTAAGGCAGTGGAGAACTTGGAGAGGGGAATTAACAGGAGATAACTGATAACTGACATCCATTAGACATGGCACGTGGAACTAGAACAGTCTACACCAGTGACAAAATAAAGGGTTCAGTTCGACATTCCAACCACCTGAAGAAGGCCGGAGCGTACAACGACCGAAACGTTGTAATAAATATGGCGTCAAAGATGAGGACAATAGTCCGAATAATTTAAATAGTTATCAATCTCTTTCAGAATTTAACTTAAAGCATCATATATCTCTTACTTTGAACATGACAAAAAGAAGAGTTGCGTTTATCTTTTTTTATTTTTTAGCATGAGTTCCAGTTTCCTCATAATGCTTCTCAAACTACTGCAAAAATTAACAGCGAATGGGGTGAAGGATCCACTTGTGACCAAAAACCGCTTTCTGAAGTTCCGCAGTGGGGATATGTGTCTTGAAGTTCAAATAGAACTCGATAAATGGGTTCTACGTGAATTCAGCGAAAGTCAAAGAGATTGACGTTTAGAAGCATGCTCGATGCTGCATTTGCGAGATTCGAATGATGCATTTCTTGATTGAATAGTGATTTGTGATGAGAAACGGATCATCCGTGGCAACTGGAAACGATTAGCGCAATAGCTTGATCCTGATGAAGTACCAAAATGCTTTCGATAAGCGAAACTGCACCAAAAAAGGATAAGGGTGACTGTCTGGTGGTCCTTCATTAGCATCAGCCATTAAAGCATTCTTGAATCAACCGAGAACATCACTGCCAAAGTTTATTGCCAGCAACTGAATGAAATGCACATTTAGTAAGGCAAAATGCAATCCGCACTGGTTAATCGACAAGGTCGAATTCCTGCTTCCCGACAGATGTTGCTAGAATTACACTACAGAACCTCACCGACTTGGAATACTAGACTTTGCCACATACGTCATATTCACCTGATCTCTCGCCCCTTGACTGCCCGTTTTTCAAGCATCTTAACAATTCTTTAAGGCAAAAAACATGAAGAAATTGTATCCAAATATATCTTAGTGTTTTGAGTATCATTGTAAATGCATGAATAACCTTTTAACTTGATGGCAGCAATGTATAGATTTTCAGGCTTCCTATTTTAATAATATAGACACTGTTTAAACACATTAATTCAAGAATAAAGTTTGA